CTGGTTTATAATATAGGTGGTTTTCTGGGGAATGGGGGGGGGGGGGGCAGAACCCCCCCCGGGGGGGGAAAAAACCCCCGCCCCCCCCCCCCCCCGCTGGATAAACCACTGCAGCAGATATACTTGTTAAATCATTTACATTCCATGCCATTAGAAAAAAATCGGGTACAGCACAGAGAGCATATCCACATATGATCGATCCATAAATAAGACGACTTCCTAAAAAACTAAGAATAAATAAATACCCAAAGATACTATCCAAACGAGGACGATCATGAAATAATGCTTTTAAATTTAATGGAATTGTTGATAATTCTTCAAAAAGTAAATAAAAATGACATGGATGACAAACTCCATTTAATATACCTATACAATATAGTACGTATAAAGTATAAAATTAGATAAAAAAATCTAACCAGAATAAAATGCTAGAAGAACTACAATATGATGTACTAATGCTGTTGTTGTTCTTACTGATTTATAAAATAACATCAATAATAGATCATATATAAAATAACCTAATGAAAAACATATACAATAAGCCATAATTTCATCACCAGTTCCATATACTCCTCCACCAATTACTCGATTGATTTGTTTTAAATTAACTGAATAACGTGCAAAAAAATTTATAACACAAAAAACGCATATAATCGCATGAATTGTTGAAATAACATAACTTTTAAGTAATGGTGTTAACTTTGATGATAAAAAATAAAAAAATAAACTATTTGCAATTATTGAGAAAAATATTAATTTATATATTGGTACATCGGGTGAAGGTGTATTGCCAAGATCTATATTATTTATGTATATATATATACATTGATAAAGCAAAATATAAAACTTACATTCGAAACGACCCTGATCATCAAGCATTATCGATAGTAATGATGAAAAACAAAAAAGTATGGATACAGCGCAAATATATCGTCACGGTTTACTAGCGTTGAGAAAAAACCTTGTATTATTATAAATTATTTTATTCATATAAATCCTATATGGAAAATGGCACATGCGGTGTACCACATAGATGAATTCTTCGCTTAATTTTTTCGTATGATGATACAGATATGAAATACCACATAATAAAATCATTCTCTGTCTGTACAATTTATTTGTTCATGTATATTAGTCTTGTAAAAGAACAAGAAGAAAAAAAAATTTTCTAATTAATTTATCAGTCATCAACGATGAGTCATTGTCAAGTTTGTATTATTATTAAGAGCTATTTTTTTTATGATATAATATATTCTTTCCATATGAATCATTGTACTTGATTCTTTTTAAATCTGTATCAACTAAAGTTAAATCATAATAAATATTAAAGTATCAGTTATACTATTCAATAATCATTTTTCATTTTTGATATCGTTAAATCAAAAGTTAATTTTGTTTTCTATGAAATAACGAATACTAAATTTAAAATATATAAACTAATAGTTAATAAACGATTAATATCTGTTTTTGTATGAAAATCTGTTTAATAAACAAAAACTATACCAATAGCGTATCAAATATTTTTAACAATTAGAGAAATAATTAATTTATCTTTCAATGTTTTAATATGTTTACGTTCTAATAACTAAATTAAGTAATTAGAATATATACTAACAACTAAAATAGATATTAAAAATTTATATGAAAATATTTTTTAATATGAGGGTGTGGGTGTGAATATGAGATTGATTTCATCAAACACATGCACGTCTTCAAGAAAGTTATTCTATCGCATAAAGAAGGTATAAAGATTCATCAAGGCCAACAAAACACATCGCACCTTTCTAATCATCTCAATTTTCATTTTCTGATTAAAATCATCGTACGTCATTTCTTCGTGTACTTTACGATGAAACAGATAACCTTTTCGTTGGATGCATCGCTAACACGAGTAAACTATTATAATCGATTTTGTAAAAAAAAGACTATTCTGTTCTTTACATTTCATACCAAAGTGAAAGGTAATATAGTGCTAAGAATGCATCCAACTTCAGTACTGATCTTCTTCATGTTATTTTTCTATGGCTTTGAAGGTGAGATATTCTATAGCTGCCTCGGAAGTGAAAATTAGTGTCCACCGTTTGAATTGTTCCATTGTTCATCGTGTAGAAAGGATTTTATTAGTTGATACCTTAAACGTGACTTTTTAGAGATCTAGTTTTTACGCAAAACATTCGATTAGAGAGAGGATGAAGGTGGATTGATATATGTTCGCACCTTTTTTTAGCTCAGTCGGTAGGGCTGTTCTTGAGATATGTAGACACTTGAAATCGGCATCAACTAGAAGGATTATTAATATCGTCTGAAGTGTTCTAATTACTATTTATTTCCAGGTGGTACATACGAATTGAATGTCAAAACCAGTAAGTTGTGTCCGCCTATGAGTTGTATTGGTGGATCTCCGAAACAATGTCCATACGGTTATCAAAAAAGGAATGGATGTGAAATATGTAGATGTTACGATCCATGCAATCCTCTCGGCAGGGTATAGTAGATTTTTTCTAGCAATATGTGTTTCTGTATTTCTTTAACAGGCTACGTGGTGTGGATCAAAACGAATTTGTTCAATCGGCAAAAAGGATGATGGTACATTCGTCGCTCGTTGTGAGAATCCATCACAGAAGAAGAATAACGAAAAGTCTGAAAAAGACAATAAACATGCGAAAAGTACGTACATTACAGCGGCTGATCATCATTTGAGCATAAATATATAGGAACAGTAAATTGAACGATAGAAAAAGAGAGGCATTACGCGTTTCAAAATACAATGAAAACGGCTGTGCGACGACAAGCTTTTTCAAAAAATGAGCTCTGAGAAATGTTTGTAGAAAAAAAATAACTCAGAAACTTATTTGAATATAATCAATTTGTATTATTATCTCCCGCTTTTGTTCTATTTCAGCACCGCTACATTCAAGTTCCATTGATATTCATCCGAATACCAAATGGATGCAAAACGGTGTTACAGTCGCTGGAGGACACGGAAAAGGCAAAGGACTCAATCAGCTCGGTTCGCCGCATGGTTTATATGTTGATGATGATCAAACAATTTATGTTGCTGACTTTTTTAATGCTCGTATCGTAGAATGGAAAGAAGGTGCAATCCTTGGTCGAGTGGTTGCTGGCGGAAATGGATCAGGCAATGGAACTCATCAGTTAGACTGTCCACGAGATGTACTTGTCGACAAAGAGACAAATAGTCTTATAATCGCCGATTACAAGAATAGAAGAATAGTACGATGGTCTCGTAGAAATAGTACGCGGGGAGAAATAATTATCTCGAACATCGATTGTGTTGCTCTGACAATGGACGAGAATGGATCTCTCTATGTCACTGATGTACAAAAAAATGAAGTGAAACGATATCGAAGAAGAGATTCTCAAGGAACAGTAATTGCTGGTGGCAATGGATATGGAGATCGTCTCAATCAACTCTCTCACCCTCGCCACGTATTTATCGATCGAGATCATTCACTGTATGTATCTGATTCGGGAAATGCTCGTGTTATGAAATATGAACAAGGTGCAAAAGAAGGAATAGTTATAGCTGGCAGTCAACAAAAAAGCAATAGTTATTCGTTGTCGTCATTTCCTTCGGGAGTGGTTGTCGATAAACTGGGTACTGTCTACGTAACTGACTATGGGAGCTATGGAATACTACGTTTGCCAGAAAACGCTACGCAGGGAGATGTAATTGTTGGTGGAAATGGTCAAGGAGGACAATCGAATCAATTAAACTATCCCGTGGATTTATCCTTCGATCGAAAAGGTAACCTTTATGTCGTCGATTTTAATAACCATCGAGTACAAAAATTTAATATTGAACAGACAATAAATTAATGATGTTTATTTTTTTTTGTATGCTTAAAATGAGAATATAGATGTAGATGAAGTGTTATATATAAATTTAAAAAGAGATAGAGACGATCTCTTATTGTACTTTGCTCACGCGAGTACATGTGAAATACATGTTGAATATTCATGGTAATATGCTTAAAATAGTAAAATGGGTGTGGGTGAGGGTGTGGATTGTTATGGGTGTTGTCCTTCATTTCTTACACCCTCGTGGAACGCTCTTTAATCATGTTTTGGGTGTGGGTGTGGGTGTGGGTGCGGTTATGTGTGAGTCTGTATGGGCTATAGTTACGAA